TCTCTTTTTGAGCTTGCAGTTGTGAGTTTACTGGCTTGACTCTTCTCTTCAGTTCTAGATTGACTTTGAGCTTCATCTTTTCTCCAGTTCTTTTGAGTTCTAGGAGCAAACATACATTCTTTAGAGCTAGATGCATGTTTTTCTTTACAATTAGAGCACTTAAGCAGAGTATGTTGACAAATTTCACCTCTTTTTGAGCATGTTTCACATTTATGCTCACTAGTTTTGTGATCTCTGGCACAGAATGCACATTTTGAGTCTCTAAAACATGAGATTGCAAAGTGTCCATATCTTTGACAGTTTGAACACTGTGTTTGAGCTTTGAGATTCATTCTTGAGTCTTTGTATTCATGAACTCTCATTTTCAAATCTGCTACTCTTACTTCAGAGATCTTTGACTGTTCAAGTGTTTTTGTATATACTAGAACAGAGGCATTTCTCCTGCTTTGTCTGAACTCAATTGAATTTAGTCATACAGGCTCCTTTCTCAGTTGAATGAAGTTATATTCTTCCAATTCATTTTTGAGAAGTAGCATTCCTTCTTCACAGTCAAAAATTTCAACTGAAATATCATGAAGAATGAATTTGTCTCACTTTTCATCTCTTTCAGATAGAATTGTTGTGTTTAGCAATGATTCTACTGCTGACTTCCAGAGATTCTCATTCTGAATAAGGAATTCAGCACTGAATTCAGGCATTGTAGTCAGAATAATAGAGTTTTCAAAGAATGATGGCTCAATTGAAGCTATAACTGGTTTTTGAACTTCAATATCAGTCATCAACTGAGAAAAGAACTGCTGATTAATTTCATTTCTGATTCTGAAAATGAGATTTGAGTTTAGCTTGTTTCTTTGCAGAATGTCCTGGTTTGAGACTTTGAGAATGAGTCTTCTATTTCTAGAGATTTGGAAGTTTTTCTCTTTTTGCATTTTCTTTTCCACTTTTCTATGAATAGAGGCATGAGCAGTATTCTTCTCAGTTTTCTCAGGATTTTGAGCAGGTTTTGAGACAGCAGGTTTAGAGACAGCAGATTCAGCTGCTTGAGCATATGTTTTCTTCTGATTCAAAGAAGAAGAAGAAGTAGGAAGAAAGGAAGAAGAAGAGTAAGATGAAGAGTCAGTGATTGTACTAGGAATTTTCAAGGTTTTTTGAACTGTGTTTGAGATTTCAAGTTTAAACTTGATCACCTTCTGTAGTTGTCTGGCCTGAGCATGAAGAATTAACAGAACTTCTTCATTCATCTCACTCAGACACTGCTTTCCAAGAATCTTGCTTGCTTTTTCAAGTTCCTGTATTTCAAGAACTTGTTGTTTCTCTATTTCTTCTTTCTTTCTTCTCTTCAGAATTTCAATCTCAGAAATAGCATTTGAGAAAGCATCTTTTTCCATATCAACTGAGCGTATTTTTGAACTCATTGTTTTCACTCAATGAAAAGTTGGTCAGACTGTTTCAATTGAGATATTTCTAAGTCTGTTTTCAATTGAAAAGTTGGTCAGACTGTTTCAAAAGAAGAATAAAAGACTTTTGTGTATAAAACACCTGATTTTTTTTCACACTAGTTCAGTAACTAGGTTAGATTTTTGAAGAGAATCTAATAAACTAAAATTGATTTTTAAGATAAATCAATAAAATCTTTACAATCTCTTTCTTGGGATACAGTGAGGAAAAGTATGATATCAATTGATAATAAATCAGATGATATGACAGTTTTTGAGAGAAAAACTGACAAAAAATAAATCAATTTTTTGCAGAGAAATTGATTAAAACTATTCAATTTTATTCTAAATCATTCAATTCTCCTCACACAACAAGTGTGCAACTCAAATCAGTTAATAAAGAGTGTAAAAAAGAATTAAGTATTAATGAAAGCTCTTCAGCCACTGAAATAGTAATTCTTACTTAAAAGAATATGAAATTATGACAGAAAACAACTCTGTTTTTAATTCTTTGTAAGAATATTGTGTAAAACCCAGAGAAAAACACCTTACTTTTTCAAGAGAAGTAAAAAACTATTTCTAAGATCTTTTTTTTTTGCATTAACTGCTGCAGAAGAATGAGATAGAAACTGCTAAGATATACACTACTGTATACTCTCTACCAAGACTTTCCCTCTTCAGAGTCTTGATATTATAGAGAATATAAGTCTGTTTCTATATGATAATATAAATATTGTCAGCAGGATGTAGAGGAACTGGTTATTTATATCTCAAAATAGAAGACTTTGTCAATGATTATATCAATATAGAGTTAATTCTCAAATTCAATAGAAACCTAGTGTTGCTGTTCTCAATCCCTTGCAGAATCTATTGAATATTGAGGTATTAAAACTAGATTTAATATATCTCACTGTGCAGGGATCAAAGGCTCAGTCAGATCTTGAGGTATACTGATTTTATAGTTGTTGATGTGCTGTTGACTTGTTGTCCACTGGTTATGTATTGAATACTGTTGCTGAGGTATCTTTTTGTATCATTCTGCTGGGGATGGGCCAGATTGAGAGGGGTAGTACAGGGGTGAGACTTGGTGTTGAAGTCTAGATACACTGGCGGCGGACTGTGGAGGTTGCACTTCAGAAGAGTCCATTGATTATGTGCTTGATATTATCACCGAGGTATCTTTTTGTATTTTTCTGCCGGGGATGGGCCAGATTGGGAAGGACGGTACGAGGGTGAGACTTGGCATTGGTGTTTTGGAACATCAAAGATGAACAGGGTTTTCGCGGAGGTCGCTCCTCGGATATCTCCACAACTACAGGTCGGGGGTCTTCCAAAATCGAGAAGATTGGTGCATATGGCTAGGTCACTTCACCTTACAATGTGTATGGCACTCTGGCCCGGGGTTGTGGTGTGGTAGGGGAGAACGGGGGATAATCCCACACAGGAGCTTCGAACAACGTCCGGTTCACGTTTGGCTGGATAACTCCACCACCACACGGGGTATGCGGTCGGCGATGGGGTCAAAATGCTCGTATGATCGAGGGCTTTTCGATGGATCTATCGGCGGGTTCTTATTCGAAAAATCGAGCGAGTTCGTGGTGGAGCGGTTCGCAAGCAGTTGAGATTCCTACTTTTCAGAACAGTTATAATCTACTATCTGATGATAGTGATTAGATTCTACTCTACTCTCTTTTAGTATGAATATACAACAAAAACAACAAAAAAAGTTTAAAAACTCTTTAAAAATCACATTTATTTAAAATAATATGAATAGAAACTCAAATTGCATTTATTCTTGTCTTTAAATTATATTTGAATAAAAAGTTGATTTTATACTGCTTCAGAAGCTGAATTTTAATACTGAGCAAAAATATGTCATTTCTCATTCAAGCTACTACTGCTTTTTACCTTAAAAGTCTGAGATAAAGTCAAGAGTAGTGATCTATGAAAGAAAGAGATTAAGATATCAATTTAATCTAAGATTTGATATCATATCTGACCCTGATATTCTGGTGGGTGATATTATAGATAAAGAAAATGAGTTTGATACTATACAGCTCATAAATATCTATAATGAAAAGTCATTGAAGAAAAACAACAATATCTGAACAATTGATAGAGAATTTCTGAACATAACTTTATTAAGAAACTCTATAATTGCAGGAGATTTCAATGCACATCATTTCTGATGAAATTCAGAATGCAAGAGAGCAGTGAGAGCTGATAATCTGATTGAATGAATCTTTGAGCATTTAATAGATTTGATTAATAAGTCTGATCAACAAACATTCTTTAGAAAAGGTATGAAACAGAAGTCTATTATAGATTTAACATTCATGTCATAAAATCTAATGAAAAGAAGACTTGTAAACTGATTTATTGATTCAAATGAGACATCAGAATCAGATCATGAGATTATTCAATTTGATATTGAACTGAGTGAAAAATAAAGGAGTGAAAATCCTCTTCTCTCTAATCAGTATAACTTTGAAAAAGCTGATTGAAAAGCAGTTGAAGAGAGCATAAAACTGTTAAAATCTGAAAAACAGAATGAGCTATATTGGAATTCTGATCAAGATATCTTAAATGAAATGCTTAAGAATAGAGTGAAGCTTATTACATCTATTATTCTAACAAGTGTTAGAGATAATATTTTAAAAAGAAAATCTTCTGAGTATTCAAAACCTTGATGAAATGAGAATATCTCATCTAAAAGAAAAGAATTAGCTACTGCTAGAAGAGATTGAAAGAATGATGTAATATCTGATGAAGAGTTCAAAGCTGTCAGAAATGAATATTTTTCAGATATTAAAAGAGCTAAAACAGACTGCTGGAATAAATTTCTTGAAGAAGCATAAGAGAAGGAAGTTTTTAAAGCTTTGAACTATACTAAAATAACAAGTGTAGCAAAACTTTCAGCTCTAGAATATGAGTTTCAGAATGAATTATATACAGCAAACTCTTTTGAGAAAAAATGTCAAGCTTTCATGAGAATTCTCTTTCAGAACTCATCAGATTCAGATTCAGATTCAGAGAAAGAGAATATATCACTTCTCAACTACATTGATGAAAATGACTGAGAATGGCCTGATCTTACACAAGATGAATTAGAGTCAGCTATCTTCTCAAGTTCTGTTAAAACTGCTGCAGATTCTGATTCAATTAATCACTTAATTATTCAAAATACATATTCCTACTTAAAGAATGAATATTTTGAGCTGTTTTTTAATCTCTTGAAAAATGAATATCATTCTGAATGCTGGGGAGAAGCCACTGAAGTGATTCTTGTAAAATCTAATAGAAAAACTTCAATTCCTAAGTCATATAGAGTAATATCTCTATTGAACTGCCTAGAAAAGGTTTTAGAAAAGATAATAGCTACTCAACTATCTTTTATAAGCTCTATAGATGATTCTCTTTTTTTCAGTGAATAAATGAGAGATAGAAAACAGTGTTCTGTAATTGACACTGTTCTCTCAGTTATTCATGATATTCAAATAGCAAAGCATGAGAGTCTGATCTCAACTGCAGTTTTTATTAATATAAAAGAAGCATTTGATCATGTTTCAAAGTCAAAGTTAATTCAGACATTGAAGATATTAAAACTGTCACTTTCTCTAATAAAATGAATTAACTGTTTTATATCTAAAAGAATTATATAACTCTTCTTTGATGGAATGAAACAAGATAAGACTGAGATAAAAATAGAAGTATCACAGAGATCTTCAATCTCACTCATTTTATTTGCAATATACACTGCATATCTATTCAAAAATAGAAATATGAGAATAGTATAATCTCTGAGTTATGTGGATGATATTGGTCTAGTCTACAGCTCAAAAACTATCAAAGAGAATTTGAAAGTAATTGAAGAAGCTGTAAAGAAAATCTTTGTTAGAGCAGATATTAATCAAATTCAATTTAATATGAATAAAACTGAGTTAATTCATTTCTTTTCTAGATTCAATGAGAAAGAACTATCTCTAACTCTTTTAAATAAAGAGATTAAACTCAGTGTAAATGTCAAATGATTAGAAGTATGGTTAAACTCCAAGTTGAATTTTAAATATCACATTCAACAAAGAACTGTCAAGGCAGAAAGACTATTGAATAACATAATCAGACTATCAAATACAGAGAGAGTTCTATTCTTCCAGGCTATGAGACAGTTATATATAGCCTGTATTACATCAGTAGCTGATTATGAAGTTCAAGTTTGATGAAATAATCAAGAGAATTTCACTGAACTCTTTCAAAGTCTGTAAAACAGAGTCTTGAGAAGAATTCTGAAAGCATTTAAATCATCTTCTATTAAAGCAATGAAAATTGAAGCTTCAATTCCTTCTTCTGCTATTAGATTTGAAAAGGCCTGTATAAACTATGCTCTGAGAGTTGTAAAGATGAGCTTAAATCATATAATCAGAGAAAGAGTCTCTTCTTCATTTTCATCAATTAACTCTGGAAATGAACTGAATTGAAATAGATTTCTTAATTGAAATGAAAATAATTCTTCAAAGAAAATGTCTTCTCAACTGTACAGACTATACTCTCTAATTAAAAATCAATTTTCTTCTTTAAATGTTGAAAAAGTTGATCATGAGAAGTTATCTCTCTGAAGAAAAAAGCTTGAATCTCTTATAGACTTACAAATAAGTGAACTATTAAAAGAGAAAGAATATGAACAGCATTTGAAGAGAATTTCTACAATCAATGTAAAAGACTCTATTCTGATTTATTCAGAGGACTCAAAAAATGAGAACTTGAATAGATTAGACACAGGCATTGCTTTTACTGAAGATAATATTAATTTTATCTCAGATTTCTGAAATCTAGGCTCTGAATGTGAAGTCTTTGATGCTGAACTATTTGCAATAGTGAAAGCTTTCAAACTCATTGAAATAAAATCTCATAAAAGAGGAAATTATTTGAAAGAGGTATGAATATTCTCTGATAGTCAAGCTGCTTTAAAAAGACTTAGAAATAGTCAGATTCATAATGATCAAATGAATCTTGAACTGATCTTAAACTCTGTTTTAAAAATTCAAAAGAGAAGAATATCAAAGCTGAGAATTCATCTGCACTGAGTTCCTGCTCATATGAATATTCATGACAATGAATTGACTCATTCAGCTGCAAAAAAGAGTGCAGAATTAAGCAGATCTATTCAAAAAATTATGTTCTGATCTTTTATAAAGAGAAAAATAAAAGAATCTTGTTTAGACAAGTGAAATGAAAGCTGGCAGAAATAAAAGAAGAGTATACATTATTCAAGATTTAAAACAAAACTCAAGTGGAAATCTTGTTCAATTAAATGTAAAAAGAAAATATTCTCATCTATAATACAGCTGAAACTAGGACATGGCTATTTCAAATCTTATATACAAAGATTTGATGATAGATTTGACTCAATAGAATGCTCATTCTGCAATACAAATGAGAATTCTGAGCATATTATAATGCACTGTGCATTATACAATAGTCTCAGAGCCAGATTGAAAGAGAAGCATGATCTAAATCAATTAAATATGAGATTCTTATTCTCAACTGAGACAGGAATTAAATACTTAATAGACTTTCTATCAGAAACTCAAGCAGCTATAAGAAAATAACTAAATTCAGAATTATCTGAATATGAAGAGGAGGAAATTAATCAGATACAGTCTGTTAAAACAGCTATACACTCTCTTTTAATAATTTGTTTTGTTATAGTCTCTCTTTACTTTATCTATTTCTGTATCTTTTTCTTTCAATTTCTTTCTATCTATCTATTTAATGTGTCTATCTTTGAGACTGTGTTCTTTCTCTCTTTTCTTTTGTCATGATATTGTCAAATGATTTCAAAGTATCAAAAGATATTAAAACACTGCAATTTGTAGACAGTTTTTGTATTCTGGGCTGGAATTTTCTGATTTTGCATATCTGAAATTGATGAATGTACAATAGTTAACTTTACAGACATAGAAAAAACCCTGAGAACTAAAGTTCTCAGGTAGATGTCATAGTCTCTGACTGCATACATCTATAATTGATGAATAATAATAATAATAATAATCTTCAAAAATCTAACCTAGTTACTGAACTAGTGTGAAAAAAATCAGGTGTTTTATACACAAAAGTCTTTTATTCTTCTTTTGAAACAGTCTGATCAACTTTTCAATTGAAAACAGACTTAGAAATATCTCAATTGAAACAGTCTGACCAACTTTTCATTGAGTGAAAACAATGAGTTCAAAAATACACTCAGTTGATGTGGAAAAAGATGCTTTCTCAAATGCTATTCCTGAGATTGAAATTCTGAAGAGAAGAAAGAAAGAAGAAATAGAGAAACAATAAGTTCTTGAAATACAGAAACTTGAAAAAGCAAGCAAGATTCTTGAAAAGCAGTGTCTGAGTGAGATGAATGAAGAAGTTCTGTTAATTCTTCATGCTCAGACTAGATAACTATAGAAGATGATCAAGTTCAAACTTGGAATCTCAAATACAGTTCAAAAAACCTTGAAAATTCCTAGTATAATCACTGACTCTTCATCTTGCTCTTCTTCTTTCTTTCTTTCTACTTCTTCTTCTTCTTTGAATCAGAAGAAAACATATGCTCAAGCAGCTGAATCTGCTGTCTCTAAACCTGCT